CGCAGGTCAGTGGGGAAGGGACTGTGGACCCCCCCCCACCGTGGCCAGGTGGATGTACTCTGCAGCAGGGATGTCCCCCGTGGCAGGGCAAAGGGGTACCCAAAGCAGCGGTGATGGGCACGGGTCACCCTTGCTCGTGGGCTCTGAGCCAGTCCAGGAGCTCAGTTTCGCAGCCCCGGGAAGATGCAGAGTGGTGGCAGTGGGAGTCCTCCACACCCATCCCAGTGCCTGGGATCAGGCCTCCGAGCGTGTGATCCGCATGCAGCACAGGGTGGGTGGCAGCAGGAGCCCAGGGGGAGCTGCCTCCATGCTGGGATGTCACTGCTGAGGTGCTGGGGCTGGCTGGGCTTGGCCCTGCGGGAGCCACTGTCCTAGTCATGCCGGGCATGGGAGACACCAGTCATCAGCTCCATGGTCATTTTAGCCCATATGGTCATGCAAGGGTCAAAGAGTGCCTGGCTCAGCCAGCTCCTGGCCACCCAGGAGGTAATCAGAGGAGGCTGGGACAGGTGCTGGTGGGACCCATCTGATTCCTTCACCTCTTCTCCTTCAGCCTGCACATGGAACGGGCCCATCCACATTGACAAAGGCTTCACCATCTTCACCACCGAGCCCGGGCTTAGCAAGACAATCCTGCTCCAGCAGCCCTTCGAGAAGCTGCAAATGTCCTCTGACGATGGCACAAAGATGCTCTACTTGGACTTTGGTGGCCCAGAGGGAGAGATTGTGAGTTGGCTTTGTTCGCGGCTTCTGCCATGCCCTCGCTTCCCGCTTCCCCAGTGCTCCTGCTGGGCCCCCAGGTGGGGATTTGGAGGAGGCCACCAGCAAGAGGCGGGAGAGGGCTGGCCCATACACCCACCTCCTGCTGCTCATGGGACTGTACTCCCTCCCCTCCGTGCTGGTGCTCCATGGCCTGCGGCCCTTCACAGAGCCCCCGTGAGGCTGTGGTGCGGTTTGGGAGGTTCTCAGTGGTTCCCAACCCCCTTGCAACTTCTTCATGGCATACTTTAGAGCTCTTCCCATCACAAGGAGAAAGTTGGGTGCTCTGAGCACAGCCCTTACCATTGCTCATGTCCCTCCACTCCTTTTTTGCAGCAATTGGACCTTCACTCCTGCCCCAAAACCATTGTCTTCATCATCCACTCATTCCTCTCAGCCAAGGTGACCCGGCTTGGGCTGCTGGTGTGAAGACAGAGGAAAGAGCCAGACAGAGCAGTACCCAACACCTCCATGAGATCTATGCACCTACAACTCCCTCCAGGCCAAACCAAACCAAAAGCCATCCAGATGAGACAAGAACCCCTGGGTCACGCCACAACAGCCAAGGAAAAACACTAGCCATCCAGAAAAAAACACTGCTGGGGCATCTTCTGGTCAGCTGTAGTCAGAAGCCGCTCTCGGACGCAGTGCCAGGACTTCTCTGGTCCCACGTGGAGCAGCTGCTCTGTCCCCTCCTGCCTCCGACATTGTCACTCACCGGAAGCTTGAAAAGTCCCCAGTGGAGAGCCTACCCCGACCGGCCACGCTATCACTGTAGTGCCTTGTGAGATGATATTTTCTGTACAAAGAATCTGTTTTTATTGATGTTTTATATTTATATAGCCCAGTTAAAGATGCTGATGTGGCAGCTTCCGTCCGCCTGTTTTAAGCCCCAGGAGAGTCCTCAAATACTGTGCAAGCACGCATGTCTCTTCCTCCAGACATGCATTTTAGAAATGCAATGGCTGGAGACCCGAGCCAAATCCTTACTGCTTGAGAGCTGGGAACTCCAGATGAGCGCTCTATTTGCCAATTTATTCGGTATTATAGCTGATGATAGGAACCACTTTTCTTTGCTAGATTTGGATGGTTCGTTTTCTTTTGCTAACTCCTGGATCCAGGATCATTTTATTTCTTGGTTTATGGGGGAAGGGAGGGGTTGTCAGGTGGCTGGTGGAAAACAACTTGTTTTATGAACCAAAAGATTCTGCATGAAAATTACTAATTTTTTTGGTGAAATAAACATTGCAGATCATGAACAGTGGGAGCCAAGATCAGTCTCCTGTTTTGCTTAGAGAAGTAGAAATGCTGTGTAAGGGAGATACTTGCACTGTGCCTTGAGATGTTTCTGCCAGGGGATTAAGGGGAGTGAAGGCTTTTTCCTTGGCGGCTGTCCAACATTGCAGTAAGTCAGTGGTGTTGGTTAGGGGTTGCTGAGGTCTCTGTCTCGGGATTCCAGATTGTGCCCAAAAGTCTTTCAAGGCTTCCTGACATTGAGTTAGCTGAGGCAGAGCCTGGCAAAGGCAATGCTTTGGGCCTGCATCTCCCGCTCTCTGCCATGCTGAGCGCCTCCTTGCAGGAGCGTTGGAGAGAGCTGCACACCAGCTGGAAAAGGTGTTGGGGGGCAAGCTCGGGAAGATGGTGCAAACTGGCAGGTCGTGGCATTTGCGAGAAAGAAGTGTGCTCTAGTGGTCACAGGAGAGACTCAGAGTCAGGACGGATGCATTTGTTCTGAAATGCTGGGCAGATCACGTTGCCTCAGTTTTCCTTGTCCTTGGGGATGCTTGCTTTTTCTTTGGCAAATACTAGGTGGAATTAAATAGCTCTGTTTGTTGCTTTGCTATGTTTAGCAGAGGACGGGAGGGAATTCATAAATGCCGAAGCTACCTTTGGCCAAGCATGTCTTACCCGATGAGGCGGTAGAGCAGGTCCTCCAGCATCCCTCCAGCGTGGCAGGGGCTCTGCCCCAACACCGCCGGGGCTCGTGTACCCTCAGGCCCGCCTCCAGCCCCCCCTGGCCATGCTGACACAGACCAGTGATGGGGTGGCGACTGGTCATGTACAGCTAGCACGTTTGCAATCTTCAATGTTAACAGAAAAAGCCCCCAAAACAAGAAAGTAACATCTCATTGTCCTTTTTCTAAGATTGGTTTGAGACCAAGAGTTTCAGGCAGCTCTCAACAGAGCTTTTTTTCTTTTTTCTTTCCCTCTGTCTGGCTGGCCATTAGTAGATGCTTTAAACAGTATTCCCTCACTATGCACCTCTCGGCTGAAAAGTCGGGCTCTGAACACAGTCCTTGCAGTGTGTTCATGATGTCTCTGCAGGAGTCCCATTGACTGTACACAGTTTGCAGCACAGACAATATTTACAGAGTGGTTCCCGATCTGACTTTGACTGCTCTTAGCTGGGTGCTTTTCTTTTACTCGTGGGGCTTGACAGCTAAAAGCCTTTTTCTCTCCTGAGTCCTGAGATGTTGCTGCCTCCTGACTGAGGGGCCATGCAAAGACGGCGACTGCTCTATGTTTGCTCAAGCCAGCAGAAGTGCATTCACAGATGAGGGTGTTACCAATTGCAGCGAAAAAGTACAGAAATCACCAAGATCCTGGATCCTGATAGAATCTGGCAGCTTTTCATGGTCTCATGTTATACCTCATCCTCACAGATGCACGACACGAAGCATCAATGCTGTGTGCAGACGTAGTCCTTGAAGGATCTCCAGGCACTCCACGAAAGCTGTTAGCAACAAAACTGTGTGAGACCGGTCTGTTCCGTGGGCCCAGAAAACCCACCATCTCCAGGGGAATGCACCACACCGATGCCACTAGCTTTAATTTTGAGCCTGCAGTATCCCTGCAGAGCCTGGAAAAGCATTGCCTGGCTAACGGGGAAAGGAGACGGCGGGCAAACACGGAGCCAGCTGTCGGTATTAAAATTGGTTTTGACATTTGGGAGTTTTCTGTCTTCAGCAGAGAAGGAGGCAGATCTCCGGGAAGGCTGCGTCCCTGGAGCTCTTCTCCATGGAGAGGCCGGCCTGGAGCAAGGCATTTGCATATTTTAATGAGATGTGTGATTTCAAGACACTTTTCTAATGGGAGCGGAGATGTGTTAACCTGGCACCTCTGGGTCAGCAGCATGAGCAGAGCTCTCAGTGAAGCATCTGCAATGAGACAGGGACCGCAAAGGACCTTGTTCATATTGCTGTTAAGTGACAAATTCTGGGTTAACCTCTTCCTTTGGTCCTGGCCCTGTACATGTATGTCAGAGAGCCTGGAGTTTCCTAGGAAAGCAAATACAGTTAACTCGAGGGAAAGCTCACATTTTGGCTGCAGGCAGTATAATAGCAAATAATTAGCAGCAAAATATAATATTATTTTTTAATGATAATTCATGTATGCTGTTATGCTGTGCAAACTCGTCCCCAGCGTGACACTAATCAGAGCAGTGGGGTACATCGGCAGCATTGCTGGTCAGGCTGCTGATTGCAGCTGGCGCTCCTTTTAGAGGCTTATTTGAGAAAGGAAATTCCTATTTTCCCTAATCATCTCCGTATGTAAAATGCTGCTATTTGGGTGCTCATTAGGTGGAGGTGGCACTTCTAGACAAGGATGCTGCTAGCTGCTAGGTTTCTGCTCCAAGGAGATGAGCCGGCTAGTACAAATCTCAAAGCACCTCGGAGAGATTGGAAATTAACGATTTGCCTAACGAAGATGGGTTAGTCCCTGGCAAACGAACCAGGGTGGGTGCCGTTACTGCGCGCAGCAAAGGCCAATTGCCATGAGGGGCACTGGGGCTCTGCAGGAGCGTGCCCTTGCTAACCCTGCAAAAGTGTGCTTGTTGCAGGAGGAGGAGGCACTTCTGGTGGGGAGCTTGCTTTGAAATGCGCAGAACTGCTCCCTGGTGCAGGGCACCGATGCCCGCACAGCAATCTGGATGCATGGGGAGAAGAAGAGCATAAGCTACTGAAAATGAAAGGGAATCAATAAAAAATGCAAACCATCTGGGGATACGAGGTGCATCCTGTTTGATCAGGGAGAAAGAACTGCAATAGCCTACTGGCCTCCCTTTGGGATGAAGAAATTGGCCTTCTTACAGGCTACATAACCCCTCGGCTGAGTGTGTGTTTGCCTTCCAGGAAAGCTGCCCTAGGTAGCACAGCTGTTCAGCGGTACTGCCCGTGTCTGCAGCCCGGGAAGCCCAGGAGTGCACTGCAGAGCCGGTGTGCAGAGCCAGCTCCTGCCGGAGGGTGTCCAGCCTCTGGAGCAGGAGCCTGCCCTGATGTGAGCCCTGTCCACAGCCTGGACCTTGGCCAGGGAAGTTGCAAAAGGAGAGTAAAAAGACGAAGTAAAAGGCCATTCCTGCTGACTAGCTTTCTCCCTATGCAAAAGTTGAACTGAGCCATTCAGGCAGGAGAACCAGGAAGGCCGCAAATTTGCAGCACGAAGCTCGGCACTGGGCACCACCATCTTGGGGCTCTTCAGAAAAGGGAGAGATGCTCCTCCTGCCTCTCCACTTAGGAAACTGTGATAAAATCCCATGCACTCCCAAGGTAACAGCAGCCAGACAGTCCCAACTGGGATATGATGTGTCCCTGTAAAGAGCTGCTTCTGGCACATGGCGGGACAGGGTGCTTGAGGAGTGAACGCAGGGGCAGCCATGGCAGAGGGGACTATCCATCCCAACCCAGAGAGCCTTCATGCTTGGCAGCCGTAATCTTTCCTGATGGACAGGCCTGTACTTTTTAGTGCACATAACTGTCAGATTTCCAGGAACCCCTGCAAAATGGATTTGCAAAAAAAGAAGAAAAAAATGTTACTAACTGCTAAATCGATATAACAAGTAATTTAGAAGCAGATGGTGTATTTTTCTATGATCAAAAGCATGTCTGCACAAGGAAAAATATTATTACTGCAATTTACCTTCCTATTCCTGCCCTACAGCCATTACTCTTTGGGGTTTATTCCAATAAAAGAGAGAATATCTCCCAAGCCAGAGGAGAGTTCCTATTAATCTTTTAGACCACAAACCGCCTTGACTTTACAAGTGCACGTCAGAAAGGCTGTCCCGCTCCATGTCTGGGCTGTAAAAGAACTAGCTTAGTTTGGAGAAGATGGACAATTATTGTCTTTCATTTCTTTGAGCAACTCTTCTGCCAGCTGCCTCTTCCCATGGGTCGGGGACTCTTTTCTGGTTTATTTTGTGGAAGTTCCTCTTCACCCTTCTGGCAGCATCCTCCACTGTACGGGACCTTTCCCCAGTGATGCTCTTGCGAAAGGGCCTGTAATTAAGACAACTGCCTCATATGTCTCTGAGCCACGTGGGACCTTGTCACATCAACTACCCAGACACAGAGGATACGCACTGCCTCTCCTGAGAGGAGCCTGTGCAGATCCCTCTGTAACCCAGCAGCAGCAGTAGCTGACTTCAGTTCCCAGGGGGGATCTCCAGAGAGGTGAGACACATTAGGCCCGTGTTCCTCAGAGACCTAAAGTATTTGCAAAAAACCCAAGGGTCCTGTTAGGAAATTCCCTTTTTTTATCGCAGTGGGCAAACTTGGAAAATTGCTGCCCTTTTCTCTGATGCTTATCAGAAACTCAAGACACAGGATTTCATGCCCATATGAGAAACTCTGGTCGGTGTGGCATGGTGCAAGCTGGCCAGCTGTGGCGGGTAGCGCAAGTGAGAGTCAGGGCATGAGTTCATTGTAAACTCGGCACATCCTTCCTGCTGCCGAGCCGTGCTGGAGCAAAGCTGGGGCTCAGGCACCGAGACACTAAACAGTGCTGGTGCTCAGGACAGGCTTGCGCTTATGGAGGATGGCTGTGCCCCGTGCTTGCGGATGACACTGTGCCGGTGACACCCACCCTGTACTCACAGGGGTTGCTGTGCCAGTGTCACCTCTGCATCTCATCAGGAGGACAGCAGGAGTTCAACAGTGTCTGTGATCCAAGATTTAGTTTCATGTTTTAAGAAACCCAAGAGGTACCAAGTGCTTTCCAGTTGCACTATAGAAATCATGGCCATTCCTCTGATGTGTAAGAGTGAGAGCAGATCCCAGTGTTGCTTCCATCCAACTCAACCCAAGGCCTCCGTGGGAAAAAGGAAACTATGGTGCCTGCTTGGAGCTCCTCTAGCCTCCCCCTACCTCTGCTCCTCATGTGGCTTCTGCCAAGGGTCCTTCCAGTCTATTCTCCTCCTGACAACCTGAAATTCCTCTTTCCTAAAGTTCTTAATTTTCACAGTCTTGGATCCTGCAGTTCCTTATATTGGACTCAGACAGGGACAAGCTCTGATTCTTTTCATCCTAGCATATTGTTCTGCCAGAGCATTTTCAGGGACGGTTTCA